GGGAAGTAATCAGTAATTAGTTACTGATTACTTTTTTCAAGTAACTTGACCAACACTGTTGAACAGTGAGCTGAACTTTGGATCATCATCTTTTCTAACAGACCACTGAGTGTGATCGTCTAAGAGGAGGTGATAGAGAACAACCCTACCTGTGGTCTCAGGTGCTCCTTAAACACTTTTTACCTGGTAAAGAGAGGGAGGTGAAAGAAGCCAGATAACCTACCACAGCAGCACAAAGATGTCCTGTCTGACTGTTTAAACCAGGGGTGGGGACCTCCAGGCCTCGAGGGCCGGTGTCCTGCAGGTTTTAGATGAGTCCTTGGTCCATCACAGCTGATTTAAATGGCTAAATGACCTCCTCAACATGTCTTGAAGTTCTGCAGAGGCCTGGTAATGAACTAATCATGTGACTCAGGTGTGTAGGCCCAGTGTGAGCTCTAAAACCTGCAGGACGGTGGCCCTTGACGCCTGGAGTTGGACACCCCGGTTTAAAACATGGACGAGGGGGATAAGGACTCCTGTTTAGGCTGGAGGCAGGATGGTGGTATGTTAGGGGACCAAACCTACCCTGGACACAGCTGGTTTCGTTCCTTCTTCGTGTTATGCACAAACACATTTATTCTTCTCTGACCTCATAAACATGAGCGTGCTCTCCTCTGCTACATCAGGCTGGTTTATTTCTGCAGCTCAGTCTGCATCACTACTCCTGGATATAATGAGATCTCACTGTGTGGAGAGGCTGACCTTGAATATTAGGTTTAAGCACGTTGCAGTGATTGGTTGATTTTATTTGACATGCTCAGCCTTGACTGGCTTGTTTTTGTCTTTTATTTGAAGAAAGCGCTGGAGTCGATCAGAGCAACCTGCTGTCTTTATTCACTGTGAAGAAATCATTTCCAAACAGCCAAACAGTCATTGAACAAGAGTTACATTGAAAACAACTGAAACCAAACGAGTGGAGCTGATTGGACGTCAGCTTTGATTGACAGCACTATAAATGTGTGAAGACATTCATTTTTGTTTTTTAATACAAAACAATGGTTGTTTTTCAGTGTGGCAACACCACATACACACACATGTCTAAAACCCCATGAAGACGACATGATTGGACATTTATACAAAACAATCTCAGATATAAATACATATTTATAATCTGTATGTTACAAAAGAGTTTCCCTCGTGATTTTGGTGACGGGCGGGGCAGCGTGATCAACCACAGTGACGTATAAATATTCAGCCAGCTACAACTTTGGCAAAAATCACAAAACCCACAGAGAAAAACACACGGGGCGGGGCTTGAATGAATGGGAGGGGCTTTGGGGTTGTGGGAGGAGCTACGGTTAAAAAGACAACTCTGAACAAGAAGACAGACAGTCACAGTAGCGTATCAGGATGCAGGATTTTTTTTTTTTTTAAACAGCGCAAGCATAAAAAAAATACAGACGTACAAGGGCGGGGCTAAAATAAGAAGGGCGGGACTTCAAGGGACAAACTGATATTTTTCATTTATTGTTTTATCGTTGTGCTTTCAGAGGTCAGAAGTTTATGTGCTGAGGTTACTGAAACGATTAAAGGCCTCAAATTATTCCTGCCGCAATTTCTGATAAAATAAACACTTCATGGCAACGTGGACGCCGCCAGATACTGCAACAGATTTCAGTGAATTCTCAGTGGAAGGAGCCTTTCAGCGCTATACTTCCTGTTCGTGCCCCCTGTTCTGAGTCTGGCAGCAGCAGAAATAACAGGAACCTTCCTTGACCCTTCGGCCCAACTAAAATCAGCTGCTTCTGTGTTCATTTCTCTTTTCTGAAACGTTCTTCAAATATGAGACTTCAGTTTGGCTAAAGGTTGGCAAAGGTTTGATGATGTGATGTCCTGGATTATTTTAAAAAACAGGGAGTGTTTTGCCTCCCCCCACTGAGGTTTACCTGAACTCAGGTGCTTTCAGAGGTGTTTATCATGTCACAGTCATTGTCTGCTCCTCATCAGGGTGCTGATGAAGGGCACCATCAGCACCCCGATTGCTACGTATGACAGGCCTGAATCACACTGATAACTGTGTCCTGTAATTTGAAGCCTTTAATCTCACTCCTCTTTAGATTCCCATTTCTTCAACTAAGATTACATCACAAGCAGACTAAGTGAAGTCAAGTCTCAGATGTGACATCACAGTTTTTACATCGAATGACCCCGCCCCCAAACATAGAGTATAACATCAGAATAATTACAGACAGCTGAAAGCACCCGCAGAAAGCTGCTCTACAAAAAGTCCTTCTCAGGTTCTTCTTAGAGGCTCGGCCCAGTAGCAGACGACCGGCTGCTGCCGGAGGCCCCGCCTTCTTAGGCCACAGGTCCCTCCTCCTCTGAGGTGATTAGTGCTCGTGGCTGAGGGGGAGGAGACAGGTGAGGAACGAGGAGGAAGGTTTTCTACATGGGAGGAACGACGAGGCCGGACATGGCTGCAGAGAGACGAGGTTTGAATTCATTAATTATAAACATAGAATAGAAATGATGTGTTACTGAGTGACAGCCAGATGTGACTCACACCTGCAGAGCAAACATCAGGTGCTGAAACTGTAATGGAAATTTCTTTATTCTATGTATTGATCACATGTTTTGACAATATCACTTTAGTAATAGTAGCATCACTTTATCACGTAGTTGTATGCATGTAGGATAGTATCACTGTGGGCCTTTATCACAGCGTCACAGCGGGGCCATTGTGTGGGACCAACACTGTCTGTGTTATTGTGTAAATGCTTTACACACATGGAGAGATGCCAAACTGCCTTTCATTGTTTTTGTAACAATGACAATAAAGAGCTATTCTGTTCTATTCTATTCTATTCTATTTTATTCTATTCTATTCTTGTATGTGGTCAGAGACATCCAAGCACTGCGTGTAACAGAGGTGACGGCTGGTCGTAATTCTCCTTGGGGGGGAAGGTTCAAGGATGAGCTGAGCTGGGAGGTATAGGTCATCATCTTCAGAGGCCGCTTTGGCGTTTGACCAGAGCGCTCTCTGCAGCATGTGATGAAACCCACTCGCTGAGTGTTTGCACTTTATTTAAACAACTTCCACAACAAAACTTTGCTACTTTGCTCATGTTTGAATAAAGCTTTGCTCACACCGTGTTTTTAATCCAGATGTTTCAGTGAGTGATGGTCTGGCCTGTACTCAGCTCAGTAATGGAGTCCAGGTTTGTTCATCGTCTGCAGATGTTTGTCCTAACCCTACAGTTTTGGTCCTTCCTCCCCCCAAACCATCAGGATGCTGCTGTGACCTGCAAGCTGATAACCAATCAGATGGTTCCTCTCATGCTTAGCTCGTAGCATCCATGATGTCCTAACAGAATTTCTGTTTCTGATTGGTCAGACTACAGGACAGTCTCCACTTGGCCTCTGCACGTCTGAAAGGAGCGCCCTGCGGTTAGACAGAGGAGGCGGTGGTTTTAATTAATCTCTAAATCTTTTCAGGAAGTCGTGAGACATGCACGATGAAATCTTATGTGCGTTTGCTTTTATGCTGCGATCTTTATGCTGTTGGCCTGGGGTGGCTCTAGCTCAGCGGGTAGAGCAGGTTGGCTAGTAATCAGAAGGTTGGTGGTTTGAGTCCTGGCTCCTTCAGTCTCTGTGTGTTAAAGTGACCTTGGGCAAGATACTGAACCCACAGCTGCTCTCGGTTCATCGAAGTGTGGATGGTCAGTTGGACGAGTCATGTAGAGTAAAAGTGCTGTGAAGGAAGAGTTTTACACTGAGCCACTGCTCACTGTACGAAAACACGCTCCACATTCAAACTGAGCAGATTTAACGCTCCACGTGTTTCCACAGGAACCTTTTCTGTCTCACATGAGTTTGAATTATTCGTTGCGCTCTGGTTACAGCCTCCGACATGCTCCAGTGCAGGTTTCAGCAGCGACAGTCGTTACAGTGACACTCCAGGATGTAGCAAAGCTGCGTTTTCCACCTCAGCTGTGAAACATTTTAAGAAGACAGGAGAGGACGGCAGAAGCAAGGACAGCGACACGAGCAGAGGAAGAGGAGGGGGGATTAGGGCACTGATGTGTATTCATAAAAGGACACACGGTAGAAGAAGACAACCACTGACACACACACAGGAAGCCTACAGTGAGCAAGTGTGTGTCAGTAAAAGCAGAAGGATGATGGGCTGCATCGTTCAGATGAGGAACGCTTCAGAGTAAAATGAAACGTAAGCCTCGGCTGTGTCAGTCAGGTGTGTAGCCACATGTCAAACTTCACCTGGACAGGTAAAATGGTTTTGATGATGCCGTCCTGCTTTGTGAGTCAGATATTTTTCCTGTTATTGATGGAGACACGCAACAGCATTCAGAAGGATGTGAGCTGACTCCGGGATGGTGGAAATGCCCCGGGGAGACAAAATCCCGTCCAATCCAGAGTGATTCATGGCTACAAATCCTCCCGCGTACATCCCGTTTCACGGCGAGCTCAGCTCTAAATCTGCTCTCTTTGTTGTAGGAGAAGAAGAAGAAGGCCCACTGTCCATCCTGAGCACTAAACCTTCACAGACCTCAGTAACCTCGCCAGCGTGTTAAAGGGAAAGGTCACATGATGCTTCCCTGATGATGAACTGTTTATTTATTGTACAGTTTTCCTTCCTCCACACCGGAATGTCCCAGGACCGTTGCACTTGATCCACAAAGTTTAAATAATCAGGAGATGCCTCCTTCCTCTGATTTCAGGTGAGCTTTGCTTCGTTGATTCTGTGCACCGCCCTCCTTTGTCTTATGCAAACTAACCTAAAGTTGGATAAGCCGTTAACAAAACGGATGGTTTGTTGATGAAGAGACTGACTCCACCCACCTGTCCCTGTTGTGACTCGAATAAAACCTTAAAGAATCTGATGAGTTTTTAAAAAACATCTGAGCTGAAAATGATGACACATCATTCCTCATTAGCTTCCTGTTAACGACAAAATGCATGTAGCAGCCCGCAGTTTAATTTACCAGCTCATTACACACGCACGCACGCACACGCACGCACACACACACACACGCGCACACACACGCACACACACACACACACACACACACATGTCTGTAGACTGACGCTTCACTCCTTCAATCACAAAAACTAAAACGTTCTGGGATAATAAATGAAACACATGTTCACAGAAACAAAACATAAGTAGTGATTTCAAAATGAAATTATTTTATAACAGCAACAACAACAACAACACTAATAATAATAATAATTAGAAACCACGTTGAAATGATGTCAGGATGAAATTGTTTCTCAGGTGCTCGTTTGAAGGTGAATCACTGATTTCATGCTCAGATTCTGGCTGCTGCAGCTGCAACTATTAATAACATTCAAACTGTATTTACTCATCACCCTGCAAATGGATCCACACACACACACAGACACACACACACA